GCATATCCAATGGTAGTATTAATAGGAGGAGAAGACTGTATGCTTATTAGGGATGGTATGAGAGGAACTGATTACTAGGGATGAAAAAGGAGAAGTAGCAGGAAAGCTGTAGTAGTTCATGAGGGATTTGCAAGTGAACCAGCCCAAAATGCATTCCTTTCCTTTTGGTTTAATTGGTGCAACAGATAATGATCTGGGTTCTCTCTCTCATAGACAACCCTACATTCTGTCAACAATGGGCCAGAGTGCAGGACAGTGTGCAGCCTTCTACACCTCCTGTATGCCACAGTTTGGAAAGAACAATGTCTCATTGCTCAAAGAATGTGCGACCTCAACAGCCAGAGGACTTGGAAGATGTGCAATTTTAATGCTGACAGTCCTCAGTCAGAGGTGGGTGGAATCAAACCTGGGACCTCTCTTATGCTTAGTATATGAGCCTTTACCACATGAGCTAAAAGTCAGCTGGCTAGTAACTAAGGCTATAAAGCAGACTCATTCTCTCAGTAAATAGTTTCAGTGACACTAGATGGGACAAAAACCACACTTAGAAGGATAACAAGCCTTTCATTTCTATGTCACCAGCCTGGATCTGGACACGGCCTATATTAATCAAGAGTCATTACTGTCCACAAGCTGCTAAGTGACATACATGACATCTCAATCTGGTTCCTGGAGGACAGGAGCACCCATCAAAAACTACAGTTAGCTGTATCTATACCATGTCCATCATACACCCTAATTAGCAGCCCGGATGAGTCTCAGAAAGGCCAAAAATTGTACAGCTATCAAGACTCAGCTGCTTTGTTAACCCTTGATGAAAGAGCTGAGGCAAGGCAGGATCCAAGAAGCAGGACATTTCAGAGAAGCTCATACTGTTACTGCTTGTGTTGGACAAGTTCACGGCATAAACAGAGGACTTCAGTTTCAACTGCCAACCTAGCATTTTTCTTCAGGACTAAATTCACTTACCACTCCAAGAAAAGACACGTTGAAACTATTACATATACATTTTTTATGAACTCTAGTGTTCAGGATTTGGATTAGGTGTCCACATGTCAAGCCTGAACACCAGGTACATATTATACATATACGTATGTATTTGCAAAGCTATAATCCCAAGTAATATGGTTTTATAACAGAAGTCTAACAAAACATTAACTCTAGTTCCAGGAATGGAGCACGTAATAAAAATGTCTCATTCTGTTCCTTATACTTCCCAGGACTAGCACACACTGACATGAGAAGCCTGTTTGAACTCAATCTGCTTTTCTTACTACAAGGCATGTACATCTGTAGACTAATCAGCTACCCCAAAGTGCTAAAACACAGGGTTTAAAACTAATATATTCTTGAAAGAGCATCTTACAAATGGATATTTAATTGTGGTATCCTGGTCTTTTTTGGACATTAATGAAGCAACAGGGGGCACAGGATCTAAAATATTATTGGTTTTATTGGAAAATTGGAACAATGTTACTATGTTACTATTACAGTACTAGGGGGCTGCTCGCTACGCTCGCCATCCCTCCCCATTTCCTGTTTTTGCAGCCAGAGAGCCTGTTAGTCTTGCACTGAGCCTAGCTGTGCTCGCCATGGCCCCAAGTCACTTGCACCCTTCTCCACTCCCACCTCACCACACCCCTGGATGGGCCCCTCTATCCAAACCCTCTCAACCCATCCCACCT